ATTGATTTCATAACAGTTTTTTATAATTTTTTAAAGGTTTGGATATTTCAATGGTACATATTGGTAAAATATTCAAGAGTATTGGTATTATCATGTATGAATATATAAAATAAATTGAAATATTGATACTTCATAGATACTATCCCTATCCCTACCCTTTTCACTTTTTTACTTATTTTTTTTTATAAGATTTTATTCTAATTATCAATTGTTTTAATTATATTTTCTCTAAAATACTCTTATTTATTTAACATTTCTTTTAGTAAAAAAATAATAAGTATTTGAAATTAATTGGATAAAACTCTGTCTATTTAGTTAATTTAAGAGATGTTAAGAAAAAATTTAGAAAAATAATTTAAATTACTCACAAATTTAATATTCTTAACTAAATTAACTAATTTTCTTAAAGGGTGTAATTTAGTTAAAAAAATATTATAATTAGAGATGAAAGTAGTAGACTTTAATACTCTATTTACTCTCTATGATAAGCAAAAAAAAAAAAAAAACTTATTTTACACGTTAAAATAAATTAGTTATCTATACCAAAATGTTACTAATTTAACAATATTTTTTCTAAATTATCTTTATTATAAATGTCAAAAGTAATGTAATTGAAAATTCATGCATTAAAAAAAATATTTTAAATAGGGTATCATTAAATAAAATAAATGTAATTAATTTTATTTATATTTAAAATATATATGTGTATTATTTTGTTGTTTGTAATAAAGTTCAAGAGGGGTATATTCTTTCGTGTATATCTACACGATCTTTTGAATCCCACTTATTTAAGGAACTCTACTAGTAATTTTATAATTTTCAGTATATTTTAACCGATAATGAATATATTACTTTCATCAAATAAATATAAAAATAATGCACTTTTCATATCTAGTGAATGATGAGCAGTCTAGAAACTCAGATCGTCCAACAAAGATCCTTTTTTCTTTTCCTTTTCCTTTTTCTTACAACTTCATAACATCTCTAATGGGAATTGAGTTACCATCTAATACAAAAAGGGTAATTTACGTATGTTATTTTAAACTTTTTACGTTAGAAAAAAGTCTGACGTTAATGCGGGAGACGTAAATTTACGTCAGTTGTGATAGCCGACGTAAATTTAATCGTAAAAGATAAGTTAGGTTGGATATATGTATAAGGGAAGCCAACAAAACTGAAGGAAAAAAATACAACACAAACAAAATAATTAACTTAACTAATTTTGCTAATTGTAGAATTGTGGTCTAATAATAATTTTAACAGTGCTTAATTTTGCAACCGGGGCAAAAGTATCAAAATATTCTAAACCTTGGATTAAGTATACCCTTTTACAACCAACCAAGCCTTATACCTTTTAATTGAGCCATCAGATTTGTACTTAATTTTATATACCTATTTGGAACCAATGGGTGTCTTTCTCGGGGGTAAAGGCATAATAGTCCAAGTTTTATTGTGTTCAAGGGCATCAAGTTTAGCTTGCATGACTTTAACCCACACCTTATTTTTAACAGCTTGATTAAAAGCACGAGGTTCAACATGGGTAGTGATTGAGAGAGCATACCTAGAATATGAAGTTGAAAGGGAATCATAAGACAAAACAAAATTAAGAGGGTACTTGATGTGTTTATCTTTTGGTGGTGGCACACCAATCAACAAGTTGTAACGAGAGTCCTTGAGATAAGCAGGAGGACATTTATGTCTAGTAGATTTTCTTGGTTGTGAAGGAGATGATGTTTTAGAGGGGTGAGCAGATTCATCAATGTCATTAAGACCATTTTCATAATGAGCAGAATCAATATTAAGGAGAAAAGAATTATCAACAATACTGACAGGATGAGATGATGAATCAAAGTATAGAAAATCAAAGCAAGCATCATTTTGTTGTTGTGAATTAGTGGTAACGGTAGAACCTTTTTCAAAAAAGGGAAATATATGTTCATAAAAGACGACATTTCTAGAAATAAAAATGTTTCTGGTTAAGAAATCAAGAACCAAAAAACCCTTAATGCCTTGTTTGACACCAAGATAGACTCATTTAGTGGCTCTAGGATCCAATTTGGATCTGCCTTGAACCAGAGTGCTAGCATAACATAAGCTACCAAACACCTTTAAGTCTAATAATGTAGGTGGTCTATCATACAGCATTTGATAAGGTAAATAATCATTTAAAACAGGTGAGGGAAGCCTATTTATCAAGTGAATAACATGACTAACAGCATAAGACCAAAAAGATTTAGGAACATTAGAATGGAAAAGAAGAGTTCTAGTTATGTTTAGAATGTGTCTATGTTTTCTTTCCACAATAGAATTTTGTTATGGAGTTTCAACACAAGAAGTTTGATGAACAACCCCATAGGTAGCATAAAGTTGATCCATTGCAAATTCAGCACCATTATCAAATCTTATTACCTTAATGTGTTTAGCAAATTGAGTTTGGACATAGGAAATGAAGTTTTGAATCAGATTTTTGGTTTCACTTTTTGATTTCATGAAATAAATCCAAGTATGCCTAGAATAGTCATTACAACAGTAAGAAAATACTTATGACCATGTATAGAGGGAATAGCAAGGGGCCCCCAAATATCCATATGAACAAGATCAAAGCAAGATAAACTTTTAGTAGTGCTAGTAGGAAAAGGTAATCTAGCTTGCTTGCCAAAATGACAGTAATCACAAGTAACATTTTTATTGTAAGTCACATAAGGAAAATGTCTTTCCACAGTATGTAAAACAACATGAGAAGGGTGACCAAGCCTATAATGGCAAAGATCAAAAGAAGAAGTAGTGGCCTTTGGTTGAGCATTCAAAACAGAATTAGATTTACAAGCTGAAATTGAATTATCCTTGGAAGAATGTTGTAGAATGTAAAGGTGATTTTTGACCTCAGCAAGCCCAATCATCTTCTTTGAAGTGAGGTCCTGTATGATGTAAGAATTCTTGTTAAATATGAGTTCATAATTTAAGGATGCATCAATCCTTTTCACATATATGATGTCGAGATGAAAGTTGGGTATGTAAAGAACATCATTAAGGAAAAACTTTTCAGAGAAAATAATGGTTCCAGAAAATTGAGCAGTGGAGGTAATTCCATTAGGCAGTTTAACATGAACAAGATCTATAGGATGATATTTAGTAAAAAAAAATATAATGAATTACATACATTATGATTAGTAGCTCCAATGTCAAGAATCTAATCAATGTGTTCCAAAGGGTTACCTGGTTGATTTTGCTGCGAGTTGGAAGAACTTATTGATTCAATAGTGGTTTGATGGACAATTTGATTAATGTTATTCTTTGGTGATTGCAACTTAGCCCTTTTTAGCATGTCAATGAGGTGATCATAATCTTCATGGGTAAAATTTGAGGTGGACTCTTTGTTTTGCTTTCCTGAAATCTCACTAGCTTGGGTATTGGGAGCCTTACTATTAATAGTGTTTAGGGAAGTAGAGTTCCCTTTGTTCTTGAATTTGAAATTGGGAGGGAATCCATGTTTAAAGTAGCAAGAGTCTATGGTATGATTTTCCTTACCATAGAAGGTGCAGACATTCCCTGCATTGGTGAAAGATCCTCGACCACTTGTTCTTCCTCTTCCTCTTGAGCTTCTTCCTCTACCATTGAAACAAGATCTCCAATTCCCCCCATATTGTGTGTTAAGGGTAAAGATTCTTGAGTCTGTAAGATTGGGTGTGTTTTGTTGTCTTTCTTGCTGCAATACTAAATAAAAAATTTTGTTGATCACAGGCAAAGGATCCATAATAAGAATTTGACTCTTGACAGTGTTGTATTGATCATTAAAACCCTTGAGGAAGCATATGACATATGCGGTGTCCTTGTAGTCTTTTACTTTGGTGGAAAGGTCACATGAGCATCTAACATCACAGGTACAAGTTGGTGTTGGCCTTAATGAATCTAATTCTTCCCATAGGATCTTTAGCTCAGTGAATAGCCTGATATAGTGCGGTCTGCTTGCTTGATGGAATGGATTTCTTGTAGTAAGTTTGAAAAACTAAAGTAATCCCTTTTTGAAAATATTTCCTTCAAATCCTCCCAAAGCCTTTGAGCATTGTTGATGTAGATGACACTTTGTGCTATTTGTTCAGAAACAGATTTTGTTATCCAAGAAAGAATCACATGGTATTGCATCTTACCCAAGCATCATGGAGTTGATCTAATTTTTGTGGTTCTTGAATGGACCTATCAACAAATTTGAATTTGTTTTTTTGACAACAGAGCCCTCATCATGCTTCTACTCCAAGAATGGTAATTTGACTCATCAAGAATTGGGCTGGCAAGGACAGCGCCCGGGTTTTCTCTAGGGTGGAGATAATAGGGGCTTGTAGGGTTTTGGGGATCTTCATCTTTTCCTTTGCTGATGATGATTTCTTCTTCAGCCATAGTTGTGGACAACGGGATTTGCTTATGGAAGCCACTAATACAAAAAGGGTAATTTACGTATGTTATTTTAAACTTTTTACGTTAGAAAAAAGTCTGACGTTAATGCGGGAGACGTAAATTTACGTCAGTTGTGATAGCCGACGTAAATTTAAAAGGCTTGTAGCCTGGTAACCTAGTCAGGTATTAGCCGAACAGAAGGTCAAGTCGGATTTTTACCTGGACGGTACAATAACAAATAAGCAATTGTAGCAAAATGAATTGAATCACTGGAGCTTACTATGAAGCAGTTGCTATAAAGAACTGCTCCGATGAATAACTAATACTATCATATTACACGATTCTCTTTTTAATTCTTTCTATCTCTTCTTTTTTGAATAAAATACTACACAAATCTAACGTATTTCACACCTGCCATTGAGACTCCATTACACCAAACCACTAAATGAAAGTGCATGTATACACCCTCACTTTCAAGGTACATATTAGATGAAGCTGTTTTCTAAAAGTAAAACATTAGAAACAGTGCATTGGTGTGAAAAAAGTAGACTCCAACACACTTCACAAGTCACCACAACCACATCTTTGACGAGAAACTAGCCTCAAGGTAGCCAAAAATAATAACACAAAGTTTTCATTTTTGTGATCACAAGAATAGTGTGTGTATATAAATTTGATAAAATCTAAAATATACTTTACCTCCTATACTTCATTTACAGATTCTTTAGTTTCCCGTTGGAGCCAGGGCATTCACTATAACACGTTCAATACAAAAAATATTCCAATGTGTTAAAACTATTACACTTTCTATTTTCTGTGTCCCTTGCATGGACATGCATCAAAACTTAAGCCCCAGCACAACCACATTTGTCACATCCCTTACTGTGATGTTTCACCTTGCTCTTCCCCATTTTCCACTTTTGAGGTTAATATAATATCCCTTCCATCCCTATCTTTTGAGGTTAACATACCTAATCATCCCAGTTATTTTCCCAGCCATCTTTGTTTGAAGATCTAGAAGTAAGGCCGACCACTGATATGCTTCCCGTATGAGCCACCGGCGACTTCACCGCCACACTGTTTTCCCAATCATCATCCCAATCCTGATCCCAACCCTCAGCGGATTCCACATTGGTGGCTGAAACAGACTCGGGCAGTGCCATTTCAAGCTCTTGATATGGAACCTCGTCATGGCGTTTCTTCCTGCATGTGCAGCAAGCCCATGTTCCTCCAAAGAACAGTACCATCAATATGAGGAAATAGGCACCATTTACTGGTGTTAGAATTTTGTCATAAGAAGGAAGACGCAGAAACAAATTCCCTTCAGGTACAGGAGTAACCATGTGAAGCACACAATCCCCTTTTCCAGCATTTAAAGTCAACTGGGTACTTGCATGGCTAATTCGTGGGATATAGACCTGAAAAAGTGCAAAAGCAGTAAGGTAACTGTAGATACCAAGAGTGCAGCAAAGATCATTCGGCCATCTATTTATTACTCACGATACTTATATTGAAACTAAAAATCTAAATAACACAAGGTTGAGCAGATGATTTTGAAATAGCATGTACCAAAACACAAGGAGATAAGTGCTTCATAATTATTACATGAAATATCACCCTGTCCAGTCAACCTCTTATTTGATGAATGAATTATAGCAGTGGAAAGGCAAACAACACTCAGCCAACATCCCTTTGATTTAAGTAGAGATAATGTAGAAAAATTTGAATGAGATTTAATGAACATTCAAATTCTCCTGTCAATAATAAGAGAGGTTTTAAAATTATGAAAAGTTTGATGGTAAAAAAGAAACAAAAATCTCTTTTTCTTACTTGCCCTCTATGTTACAATTATTTTGATTCTCTTCCTTACCCTGACAAATGTTGGAATGGTCATTAGTGTCCTTTCCATTCTACTTCATAACCATTACATTTCCATCAGTTCCATACATCCAAATGAACTATAAGATTCTAAAGTTTCATGGCTCAGTGAGTCCTGAAAATGATTAAATTAATTTAATAGTTGTCTGTTATTTATCCAAAACTCTTTGCGACTGTTCACCAATATTTAACAGATGACGTTTAATTTGACCAAAATAATGCTGAGTTACGTTCTGTTTGCCTCACAAAATAAACAATGAGTTGATAAAGTGGCTTAGGCTTTTACTTCAGTTTGAAGCAGGAGTAGTACCTTGATACAAAAATAAAATCATCAATTGAGAAAGAAAAAAAAAGTCAGCTTACGATAAAATGACTGATACCTTTGCTGTTGCACTTTTGTTGACTTTTACATCTTGAAGGTTATTTTCAAAATCAGTACGAAGCTTCACATTGATGATGCCATCTCCTCCATTGTGAAGAAGAACAATCAAGCACCCAGGATCTGGTTGTTTTTACAAATTATATAAATACAGATAAGTTCATATGTTGACTTTGGTGAAAATAATACTACATTAGTAAAAATAATTGACCTACAGTTACAGTACAAGTAACATGCTCCAGTACACCTTAACAATCGGTGGTTAATATTCCTCCAATTGTTCCATTTACTTGAAATATAAATACAAAGGTACCACTGTAACAGTACCCCCATAAAAACAAAGCGTACAGGAAGAATCTCCTATCAATAAATGACAACCAAAATTCTAAAATAGAGAGGTGCACGTAGCATTATTGCTCGCTTTGTTTCTTCACATGATGATCAAGGACCAAAAGCCACAAATCCACATACTTAACAGTCAAAGTTCTGAAAGAAAGCTGGATAAGACTGGCTGGTTCCACACGTTGAACTAAAACTGACCATTACCAATATAGAAGTTTAGTGCCTGTTTGGATTTCAGTTGGGACTGAGAGAGCTTAAAAATACTTTTACTCCCAAAGCAACAAATTTTTACTTCATTTTGTGCATTGGAATTCACAAAAGTAATTTTTCAACTTTTCTCAAAGCACAGCCTTAGTCTGTCTTGTAAGAAATTGTTTCTTAAACAAAAGTGAATAGGATTATAATAATCCACTAATCCTGATCCAGTATCTTAAGCAGAGGATTGGTCCCAGTTAATGAATTAGCTGAACCACTTGAGAGGAATTAGTGGTTAAAAATTAAACAAAGGGTTGAATATGTTTAGTCCTTATAAATATGGTGAATTTCGATTTTAGTCCTTTAAAAAACTGTTGGTTTCTGTCCACATAATTTATTTTTTGAAAATGGCCTCATTACTATTTAATAATGATGTGACATGCATCTAGACATGTCACACTAACAACCAATTTGATATGGCATGTCTAGATGCATGCCATATCATCACAATTAATAGATTATTTAACCACTACAATTAAAAGTAATACATTTATTGAGATGTTAAACTGATTTAGTAAAATTGTATCAAAAAGTGACACATTTATTGTTATTCTTAATCTATGAATAGAAACCTTAAAATCCAATCATTGTAAGACCGAGGAAGTAATAGAGACCTTTTCAAAACTTATAAATTTTATGAGGACCAAAACCAACCAAAAAATTGGTACTAAAACCAGAATTCTCCATATTTAGAGGAACTAAAAGCATATTTATGCCTTAAACAAATTATTTCTAGATTAGCAACAATGAACCACCTTTTTTTTTTAATAAAATATATTTATCAACAATGGGAAGTAGAAGAATATAAAAGGGATGACAGATAATAAATACTCAAAAAAAAAAATTAAAAAGAGGAAAAAAAAAAGAACCAAAAGTTGGCTACAAAGAAAAGCTATCCCCAATCCCTTTCCCTTGGCATTTTGGTAAAAAGGCACCTCCTTATGAAAATCAGGTGCTTTATACCGTGTGGAAACCAAACACCTAATCTTGTCCAAAAGCAACTGCTTACCTAAAAACTGAGAGAATTGGGGTCTGCTTGATTCCTTTATCACTTTTTAGTTTTGAAAACTCTTTTTTTAAAACAATTCCACACTGCTCAACAATCAACTTCTCATGCAAAATCTATTAAATTTTGAAAATTGTCTGCAAAACAAGTGTTTTGAAAACCAAGAAACAGAAACTGGGAGAAGTTTTCTCATCTTATATTTTTTTAAGTGCTCATCTCAAGTGTTCAAGGGACAAACTTTTAACAAACAGCAACGTGCTTAGGGGACAAACAAACTATAGAAAACAATAAAAAAATAAGGTCTTGAACTCCACCAAAATGCACCAATGGTTCAGCATAGTGTTGTTAATGACAGATGGTTTGTGGTGGCAAGCCTAAAAGAAAACCATAAAGGATGTGGTGGATGGCATTAAGAAGACACTTGGTACGTAAAATGTTTTTACTTTCCTAGAAATCTCAAATCGGGAATTTTGGTTTGAAAACTCTTTTTTAAAAACAATTCCACACTGCTCATCAATCAATTTCTCATGCAAAATCTACTATGAAAATTGTCTGCAAAACAAGTGTTTTGAAAACCAAGAAACAGAAACTGGGAGAAGTTTTCTCATCTTATATTTTTTTAAGTGCTCATCTCAAGTGTTCAAGGGACAAACTTTTAACAAACAGCAACGTGCTTAGGGGACAAACAAACTATAGAAAACAATAAAAAAATAAGGTCTTGAACTCCACCAAAATGCACCAATGGTTCAGCATAGTGTTGTTAATGACAGATGGTTTGTGGTGCCAAGCCTAAAAAAATACCATAAAGGATGTGGTGGATGGCATTAAGAAGACACTTGGTATGCAAAATGTTTTTACTTTCCTAGAAATCTTAAATCGGGAATCTTGGTTTCTCATATTTGATAGCTATTTAAAAAAAAATAGATTTCCAAAAATATAGTTTCCCAAAAACTATTTTTATCCCACTTTCCCACGAAAACATTCTCATAGGGAAGGTGAGAATCCAACTCTCCGAATTAGAGGAAAAGTTTAATGCATATAAAAAGACTGCAGTATCTTTTCTAAAAACAAAATCTTTATTTCTCTTTCTCTCTCACCTATTTTTCTTTCTCTCTCTTCCTCTCTCCCTTTGCCTCTCCCTCTTTCTTTCACACTCTCACTCCCCCTCTCTTCTTCTCTCCCTCTCTCTCTCTCTCCCTCCTATATCTCTATTTCTTTCTCTGTCTCTTTCTTATATATCATTATTTCTTGACCTTGTCAATTTTAATAATAATATTATTAAAGTCTTTTTTTTCTATAGTTTAGTAGTATTTGTTAACACTTTTTATTTAATTTTTTATTTGAATGAAATGAAATAATACATTTTTAATCCTTCTTAATTATTATGTAGCATTTTTCTTTGTCATTTCTTTTGTTGGATTCTATATTTAAATAATTTTAACTATAAGTTTTCAACTTTTTAAAATGGTTTAATGTCATATTTGTAAGAAGGTTTGCGTAAATAAATTTATCTAATGAGTTTATTTTATTTAATAAAATATATTTTTGTAAAATGTATTTATATGTCCAAAAATATACTATTGTAACCAAACATAAAAATCTTTAATTTTCAAGAATTCTATAAGAATATTCTCTAGAATCTTTGAGTAATCAAACATATTTTAGTTATCCCCAGGAATCACGATTCCCAGAATTTGTGATTCCTAGGAATCATGATTTATGAAAAAATTTCTCCCCTACCAAATCCTCTAGCTATAATAAAAATAAAAATATAACACTTAGTATCGTAACAAAAATGGAGGGAGAAATCAAAATAAATGCAGAGCACAAGAGTCCAAATAAAACAGTAATAGAAGGAAAAAATGGTGGGTTGCCAGAGAAGGTAACAGGAAAATGGAGGAGAAAAAGGGGAGAGAGAGAGAGAGAGAGAGAGAGGCAGAATGTAGGTCACTGGAAAATGCATGTCACTGTAGGTAAAATCTTTGCCAGCAGAGATGGATGTGTGCTGAAAGGAAAAGAGATGGTTGTTGGTCTCCTCAAGGTTTCACTCTAGCTTCGTATGTTCAAGGTATACCCATTAAAATGGGTCAGGTTGGACCATAGTGATCCATTTTTTTTTTGTCATTTTCCATCTTAACCATTTTCTAGGTCTGCGGCACCATGAGCACGGTGGCCACCATTTCGATGCCACAAGAATCCATCATGCCATAAACAACTATGGTGTCTTGTTGAAAAACCATCATGACAATTTGACAACACTGATTCCGGGTAGCAGTGGAAGCAGAACATGTAAAAATAGATGAGGAAAAGACTAGCAGCATCACACAGAACACTTGATTAATAAGGCATTGTTCACTCACTTACTACTCTCAGTGGTTAACTGCTCTCATAATGCAACTACCAAGAAATACATATTTTTTTGTAATTTTGGTAAAATTCACTTACAGAGAGCATTATCGAACTTGTTACAACTAATAATTGATTCATTGGAGTACGAGCAATCAGGATTACCAAAGGCTCGGGAGAAGGGGGGGGGGAGGAGAAGGTTGGAGGGACTTAAAAATATAAGTAACTAAGAACAAATGGGCCAGTTTTAACATAATGTCTTCAGCAATTATTTCAATTTTGGAAAATAGATATTAATCTCACGTCATATTGTTAAATTCTATGAAAGTTGTTCAAATGAAATTCTAATCAGCTTTATTCAAAGAAAAGTGCTAACAAGAGTGAGAGTGTTAAGATAGATTGTGAAAGAGAGAGAGTTGCTAGCCTTTCTCTTATTCCAAATACAAAGTTCCCTTAATTCTCTTACCCTTTCTTTTTTAATTTATTTAAAATTTCTATACAAAAGATCACCAAAATTTACTTAACAAAATTGGTCATTAAACATTTTAAACAAACTAACAGATTAAGATTTAAGAATAGATTCCACCATACAATGATTTATGAAATTAACTTTAAAGTTTGTCAAATGCTTCCTTAAGAATCGAAATTATTATTGCATTTCACAAAACCAGGAATAAAATGGAATTCTAAAAACTAACAACAACAAAAAAAAAAACCCTTATCCCACTAGGAAATACAATAATTTTTGAAACAGTGATAAATTTGAAATCAAGTTAACTCAATAACTTTTGTTTTAGCTGCATTCATGTTCTTTGCATTCTTTTCTGGAAAGTTATCCTATAAATAGGAGAAACAGAGTATGAACTTTGTTAGTTTATTTCCATTTTCTTCATGTTTTCCATTTCTTGTATAAAAGGTAAAAATAGCACTAAAACAACATTAAAAGAAAAGACACAAACAGACAAACCATTGATCAATGAGACTTAATGAAATAACCAAAAGCAATGCTGAATATTGAGTACCATTTTGGGAAATACAAGCAAGCATGTCCCCTTCATCTGTGCACGTGTTGAGCCCCTCACAAGTCTCAGTGGTGCTAGAAATTGAAATTTTTGGCCACTTCTCTTCTTTCTGACCCTTGTCACCCTCATCATCCGTTTTGGGTGGAGGAGGCACACTCACAGGAGGAACTGAATTATTCTTCACTTTGGGTAAAGGTTGCGGTTGTGGAACTGGGGAAGGTGAACCCTTGTTGACCTCGTTTGTTTCACCAACAGGGTTTGGATCCTAAAGGCGAAAACTTTATTCAAATATCGTAAGAAAAAATAAAAACAAATGGAAGCTATTCGAAGCAAGGAAGCACGAGAGGAAAAAAAAGAAGAAAAAAACTCACCTTTGGTTTATCATCTTTTGGATCAGGACCAACCAACTTCCGGAGTTTCAGAACAAAGGACGCGTCAGAAACATCAAACATAATCAGGGACAACAACAAAAGCGCCGGTAACGTGTTTGTTCTCATTGTGATCGAGCTACAACAGGCTCAAGCACAAACCTTTGGATTTTCTTTTATAAAATAATAAATAAAAAAAATTGGAAGAATCGTTGGAGGGAGAAAACAACAGAAACAATATAGGGAGAGAGATCAGAAGAAACCCTTTTCGGGGGAAATCAGAGGGTGGCGTGGAAGTGGGAAGATGGAAGGAAAAGGTGGAAATTTAAATAAATAAAAAGAAGTTTTGGAATGGAATCTGAAAGAGAAGAAGAAACAGAGAAAATTGTGGGTTCTTTTTTTTTTTTTAATATTTGTTTAGGATTGGAAGGAAGACTTGGTGAATTGGGAATTCCGAAATGGAAAAAAACTGAAAAAAAGGGAAGACTTGACGCAAAGTCTGAATCAACAGAGACTCTCTCTCACTTGTTGGAGGAGAGAGAATGAAACAAAACGAAGAACGAGTATAAGCATTATGGGCCGGGTTCATGTTGGGCCCAAGATATCCGTGGCTCCGATCATGGGCTTGTGCCTAAAACCAGAGAGGTTCGTGATATATACACCTCCTTTTTTCTATAACTACACTTCCTTTTTTGAAAAAAAAAGTAATTAAAATTTTAAAATATTTTTAATTTTTAATTTTTAATTTTATATCTATAACATTTAATTTAGTACTTTTCTTTCACACATCTTTTTTTTCTTCTTCAATTTTTACATGCACTCTCTTACCTTCCCTTCATCCACCTATTTTGGTAGCATGTGAAAACTAAAAAAGAAAAAAAAAATGTGTGAAAAAGAAGAAGAAAGTAGTAAATTGAAAATTGAAGGTGTAAAATTAGCAAATTAAAAAAAAACTACAATATTTTATAATTTTTAAAAAATAAAGGAGGTGTACTTAAAAAATAAAGTAGGTGTATATATCATGAGCCTTTTTATGAGTGCACTTCCTTTATTTTTTAAAAAACTATAAAATATTGTCATTTTTATTTTATTTTTTTAATTTTACACCTTTAATTTTTAATTTTCTACTTTCTTTTTTATTCACACACTTTTTTTCTCTTTCAATTTTCACATACTACTAAAATAGGTGAGATGAAAGAAAGGTAAGAGAGTACATATAAAAATTGAAAAAAAAAATAAAAATAAAAAAAAGGAAAGATGTGTAAAAATTTACTAAATAAAATATTGTAGGTGTAAAATTAAAAAAATAAAAAAAATTAAAAATATTTTAAAAATTTAATTATTTTTTTAAAAAAGAAAGTGTACTTATATAAAAAAGGAAGTGTATATATCATGAACCAACGAGAGATTTGTTTGCGTAAAAGTAAGCTCACTGGGCCTAATATGATATCGTACCCATGAGTCCATACATTTACTTGTTTGTTTGGAAGTTTTTAAAATAGGTTTAATTGCATTTTTGTTTTGCTGCCAAAAGTTATTTTTTAAATTTTATCATTCAACTTTTTAGATTTTAAAAAAAATCACTGAACTTTTAAATTTTTGTCATTTTATTAATTAACCATTTGACGTGTAGGTCCTAATACATCTCTTGTATATATACCTATGTCCTATACCAATAAATAAATAACTTATTATGGAGTCTTTTTAATGAATAAAATGGTAAAGAGGCAATGAAACTGTCATGATTATGAAAATCAATGATATGGTGAGGATTCTCAAATCAAGTACTATTATCCACTTTTATGAATAACTGAAACCATCAATAATGTCTAGTTTAATTTAAGACATTATTTACTGAACTTGAGTTATTAAAAGTTCGGAAGAGAACTTAGTTTTCACCACTGGTGTTGAAACTTTATCATGGAATTTCTAACAAATTAGGAGAATTTGTCTTAAAATTGATGAGCAAATATAGAAGGCAAAGAAGCTAGTTAGTGGCAAATTAAACCTGCATGTCTCATTTTTATAGGCACTAATTATTTAATACAGATAGCACTCGGGAGGTTATATTACCTTTTGATGCATGGAAGAAGGATGAAAATAATCGTTATAATGAAACACAGGAATTAAATCACTATACATGCATGTGCTTTTGTGCAACTTCTTTGGCACATAATCTTCCTAAAGAAGCATGGAAGGAGGAAACATATTTTCTTTGAGGCAAGAAAGAATAAAGCGTTGCATATCATATATATGGCTTCTGAATTATACGAAGTTAAGATCCGAATATGCCCCATTTTTATTTTTTTGTTTATATACAACTTAAACTCTGCAATAAGTGAGCCAAAATTAAAGAAGCAACATTATTAATGTAAATAACATAATATGAAATAGAAAACATAAGCTTGTGGATGTTAGTCCAAAATGTTTTGAAAAATGAGATGGGATATCGAAAGTGATGAATCTGATTCCTTGTTAAGATAAGGACTCCTCTAACAAACAATCTTTAAGGTAACAAAAGTAAAAACAGTGGAACCCTTTAAGCCTCGAATGGCAATTGGCAAGTCTCAAGTATATATATAAAGAAGTGAGATAGTGAAAGTAAATGAGTTGCAGAAAATGGCAGTGGTTGGAAGAAGATTTGGTGACGAAGAGAGCACTCTCTTGGACGAGTTCGAGAGGCTATCCTTTGAGGCACACGCAGCACAGCTCAACAGGGTCATGCTTGGTCGTAGCCTTTCGGAGCCAAAGTTGCAAAAGTCACACTCAAGACTCATCAGCGTGGCTCCAATACCTCTGGTGACTCATGTCATGCAAGGTCAGCCACGTCATCATCATGGTCGTGTTGGTGGCTCGGGGTTTCACAGGGTCCTCAACAAGTTGCTCAAACCAATTCTTGGAATCAAGAGAGGCAGAAGAAAACAACATGTCTCAGATAACAAGGATGTCTTGTCTTGCAAGGCGTTCAGCAGATCACTACGCTTCTGAATTCTCAACTATATGCATGCCAAAAACCAAAGTGTACGTTCATTATTTTGCATGTATCTATGTATTATGCAATATTGCATTACTAAAATGTCTTTTTGTCCTAGAATATATGCATGTGTATTGTGTCTAGTCTCCACAACGTTCAGGCACATATAAAATAAGTGAAATGTTTTGTTCACCTCCCTTTAATTTACATTCTCTTGTATTTCATTCATGTAAAATACAATTTTGTTTTATGTCTCGTGTTAAACACTCTTTTATTTATAATTTTCTTTCTCATTATTTAATAAAATAAAAATTTAAATATCTTTTTTATTCTTATAGTTTTATTAATTTTACTTTTTAGTTTTTATAATTAAAAATAATTCATTTTAATATATATATATATATATATATATATATTCTTCTTTTTTTTAAATCAATGTTCTTTTGAATTTTTTCTTTTGTTCTTTTAGTTTACCATATATATTCATTAAAAATGGAAGCCACATAGTATGTAAAAAATTTTCAGAAAGGAGAACATTCTAAAGTACAAGAATCGTGTGCTCTTATACTAAGAAGGCCTACTAGACTTTGGACTCTCGTCATCCTTTCAACAAAAGGCAAAGTTTACATCTTCTCAAACTTCTTCCGATTTAAAAAGATGTCATTCCTCAACTCAAATAGGAGATTATTTGAAGTTTTGAAAAGGAGGCACGCAAAAAAGGAAA